GCTCATGAACTAAAATAACTTAGTAAAATTTTGCCCTAGTTAGGCAGGTTTTTGACCTAACTTCATGGCCACTTTTCACCTAGTTCCAAGAGGAATTTTCAAAAGCATTTTAAAGACGGGTTGTAGATAAAATTACAAGATTTCTAAAATATCCAAGAACTCCTTGAGATCATTCTTGATTAGGGAGAATCGAATAGATGAAGTTAGGGTTTTATCACTTTGATTATAGGTCATTTTCATGAAGAACAAGTTTTCAAATTTGCAAATTGGCTGTACAATCTTCACTTTTCAGGCCTCAAACTCGTTTGTCACTCCACCATTAATGAATTGCAAAAGGTTTCATGCCCTAAAGCCAAGAATTCAATGCATTGTACAAGAAAATAACCATTTTTGGAAGAAAGGCAACATTGCCATTTTGGAAAAGCATGTTTTTTGCATTTTTTGCATTTTTATTGAGCCTTGGACTTGTTTTCTCTGCACAAACCAAGTGTCTAAACCTGAACAAAACATGTTTAAAGCTTCAAGCCACCCTACAAGATCAGAATCATGCCTTAAGAAGTCATTTCTCACACTTGCTTCAAAAACAAGAAATGTAGCAAGACACGTGATCTTGTGCTTCTGAGCAAGCACAAGTCCTCTAACCTTTTTCTCTATATAAAGCCATCATTTTGTAACTAAAACCACGCATGCCCAAGCCTTGAAACACCCTATAATCATAAGTTGCATACCAAGCTTCCAAACTTGCCATTTCTGACTTGTGAACTGAATCTTCCATTTCACTCGTGCGTTTTCAGGCCTTTTGCTTTCCCAAGCTTCCTTACCTTACAAGTAAACCATCCCACACCCAGAAACATCACCGTAACTCCATCTTCCCCATTGTTGAAGTTCAAAAATAGAGTAACACAAGTGGACTTCTCCAGACTATTCCAGCCACCCTCAAGGCAAGCTAAGCATTGTATTAGCTTCCTAGAGGTTCAAGGAAGCTAACTTGATCATCACATCATCCTAAAGCAAGCTCATTTTCAAAACATAATTTCCATTTTTAAGGTGAGTTTTCTGGTTTTCTAACTCTTAATACATGCATAGTTAGCTTTCCATTTGTGAATATAGAATGTAGACATCATTGCTATGAAGCTGTACATATCCATAGCTTGCATTTATTTGGCTTGAGTTTAGAGAATTTTAAGTTTGAAGTTTCTGAAAAAATTAGGTTAAGAATTAGGGCCAATAAAATTCTCTCTGATCTTGGACTTATAGTTTTAGTTATGCACATGGTTAGAATCGTGAGGTAAAATGCTATAATATTCATGTTATCACTTTCCATTTTTATTGAGAAATGAAAAAGTTACAGGAGGTCTGGCTGGCTAGAGGTAGAAGATGAAGTACAAGGAAAGGCAATGTTTTATGATATGTATTTTTGTTTTCATTTAGACTAACGGATGTATAGCCACCCCAGTGGTAAGGCAGCGCGCAAAAATGCCCTAGGTCGTGGATTCGAGCCTTGGCGCTGCCTTTTGCATGTTTTCTCACATTTTACTTCATTTTTTCCCTCTTGCAGCTTGGGCTTCAGTTTCATTGAGCCCTATGTTTTTTGCTAACTTCCTGCCTCCCATTTGCTTTCAACACCCCTGGCCTAAATATTTTATTTACTTATTTTATTTTTATTTTATTTTATCAAATATATTTTCTTAATCATAAAAAATATAAAAAATGATAAATATTATATTTATTTTATTTTATTTTATTTTCTCATAAAACATGTTTATTTTTCATTTAAGTTGTATACTATCTTTTTTTAATAAACTTGTAAATTAAAATAGAATTAGGTTAAATATTTATTTTTCTTCATTTTTCTTCATATTTATTAAACATATTATTTTTAATACAAAAGACCAAAATACTTCATAAATACCATACATTATTTTTCAAGACAAAAAATACAAAAATACTTAAAGAAATTTATTTCCTTTTAATAAATTAGAATTAGGGTTTAATCAAAATCTTTTCTAAAAAATAATTTCCTTCCTTAATTAATTTAAGTTTAATTTTGATTTGTTTATTAGGCTTAGGTTAAAACTCTTTTACATAAAAAGAACCAAACAAAATATTCTCTGCATTGATACATATTTACATATTTGATTTATCTTGTATATTACTTATTCCAATAATTGTACATATTCAATTTGGTTGTAATAGCTTAATTAGGTTTATATTATTGCAAATCCCCATTCATGAATTGTATCCCCCCCCCCCTTCCCACAAAATGTTGTAATAGCGTAGTAATCTTTAAATTTTGCAATTTATCGCTTTACATAACATGTTAGTAATTAGGGTTTGTATTACAAGATAAAATCAATCAAATAGAAAACCCTAATCCAAGACAAAATCAAGCATGAAAATGACACACTTGCACACAAGACATGCCTAGGGTTATCCCACTTGTTTTCCTTATACAAAATGGCCATGTTACGCATGTAAAGTGTCTTAGCAAAAACAAACAAATACAAGATCATAGACCCTCGATGACGTTATTCAAAGTTGCCTTACAAAAATGATCTTAGTCCCTCAAAATGCTAAGATACTTTGCAACATTGCTAATCATGGCCATACGATGACCCACGCCCGTCCCGTTTACATCCAAAGATAGAATTGCTTACCAAATCAATGGTAAGACAACAATGTCAAAGGAAAAGAAAATGAATAAGAAAGACATTTGAGTAGGTAGATTACTTTTAGTTACTTGCTCCAATTCAAAACAAATATCCTTTCTATTTTCAAAAACAAACACACACATTTCCAAACATCTTACAAAAATTGAAAACATTTTCAAAAGGACAAACATCTTTATATACATTCTTACGAACGAGAATCATTACAAAGATTGCCTAAACAATGGCCTCTTTTACAAAATACTTTCAAAAACCACACAAAGCACAATTTCAAACAAAAGAAAGTGATCTAGCAAGTAACTAAGAGCCCATGAAAAACTATGGATGAAAAGGATGCTAATACCTTCTCTTTTCATAATCTCCCCCCCGAACTCAAGAAACAATCTCAAAGGTCTTTCCTTTGATTTTTCATCTTACCTTTTGGATAAAAGAAAAGTCGGTGGCGACTCTTGCTAACCGCAACATTTGCGATAAAACGCAAAACAATCAAGTCAGTTCTCCCTCCGTATCACACCTGTAATGGTGAAGACGTGTTCACCACATGTTCTGAAAATGTAGACGCGGCGTTCGTAAGGCTATCCATTTCAGTGGTTGGCATGCCATACGGCTGTTCTCGACCCATCCAGGCTGTCGAAAATCCTGGGGGAACGTACGATCGAGATCCTGGATTTTCCCTTGGTGGGGGTGTTCCTAATGGACCTCTAGGACCTACATACGAAAGTATGGGTCCTGTTTGATTCGTGGTTAACATTGATACTGAACCAACAGATGTTGAGATATTTTCTCCAACGGTAGTTATAACCGATGTTCCTGTAGTATTTGGTGGAGGTATTTCTCCATGATTTGGCTCATTAGTCATTCTACTTTTACTATTTCTCTTTTTAACAGTACACTCGTTAGTGGTTATTCTACCACTTCTTAATAACATGCAACACTGTATACGTGTAAAAGAAAAGCAATAACATAAATGAACAAACAAATGATAAAAATTAGCAACGTCCCACCAGGTGTGCCAATTTTTTTACCGTGGTTTTTGGTAAACAACCGCTGATCCTCCAAAAAGAAAAAGCCCTTTTGGTTACTCGCGGAATCGATCAGATTGATCCTAGAACATATGCTAATTTTTATGTTGGTTTGATGTAAAAGTTAATATCTAGGAAGAACACACGTTCGACCGGGGATATAGTGTTTGTGGTTTTGGAAAGCAAATAGAGATGCAGATAAAATGAAGGAAACTTAAACTTTGCAAAAGAAGATCAAAACAATGTAAAAGATTTGATTAATAAAAGGTGGTGTCTCCAACGTACATTCTCAGTTATTCTTTCACACACAGCGGGTACTTGAATAATGTAGAGTGACTAGTACAATAAGTTGAACATCCCGAAAATCTACACAAACTTCCTATCTTTATACTAAAATTATGTAACTGTCGAGGGGTTGCCTTGCTCTAGGATGAAGACAAGTGTCCTCTGCATGCCCCTCGACCTCTATCTTCCTGCCACGTCGCTTTCCCTTAACTGCTGAGCGAACTGCATTTCCCTCCAATCTTCAAATTCAAATATCCTTCGCCTTTGATGCTGACACGAGGGTTATTCTTCTAGTCGAAGGTCACAGGACCTTTTTAGTCGTAGTCTTGATGGCGATGTCTGGTTGAAGACCAATTTGTAGTTCAGATATTTCTCTAAGTTTTTCCATCCGTCGAAGTGTTTTCCAGCTTGGCTTTATTTGCTCTCTATTTTTGGCCCATAAGGCCAATTTATCGTGGGTGTCGAATTCAAGAGCCAACAGCCACACTCCTGAAACAATGTTCCAATAATGCCACATCTTGAAACGAATTTCCCAGAATGCCATACACAAGGGGGTTCACGCCATTTCAAATGACGTGAACGTGGATCCCACGCCATTTCAAATGACGTGAACGTGGATCCCACACCATCTGAGAGTATATGATTCACGCCATCTGTCAGCTGGGTCCCACGTTCACGCCATTTGAAATGGCGTGAACCCCCTCCCTATGTGTGATATTCTATAAAATTCGTTTCAGGATATGACATTATTGAAAAATTATTTCAGGAGTATGGCATTGTTGAAAAAAATTCAACATATTGTGTCCTTAGTAGCAACCCCCTTTCTATAATGGTAATAAAAGTGCAATAGATATGGAAACAAAACTTTTTCCAGCAACTATATTGACAGAACTCAATTCCAACTCTCTATTAAAGATGAAACGTCAATAGTAAGCATTGTCCCTTTCATACAAATATTATTACTAAATAAAACACAGAAAAGTTGCCATTTCACACAAAACAACCGTTGTTGTTTATTGATACACTAGAACAGATCATTTTCACATCCCATTTGAGGCTTCAAAAGCATTTGTCTAAGACTTTGCACTAAATCATTCACTGTCACTTTGTATCCCTCATCCATCTGCAATACAAATACAACAATATATCAATTCAATATTTCATATTAAATTTTCATTGAAAATACAATTTTAAGCATGTGATTAATTAATTTACCTGAGCAATAATAGTAATGAAAAGATCTGATTTTCCAAATGGCAAGACACTGCTACCAGTAACAAAAAGCTTAAGATTTTCGATGTGTTTAAGTACTCTAAGCTCAATTCCAATTTGTTTCTCACAATGAATTTCAATAAGCACTTCCTTTCCCATAACTCTTGCTTCAATCTCTGGGATTATATTATTGTTAAAATCATCATCATTATCATTATCATCATCACTACTTGTTTGACCAAAAATTTTGTCTTCATTATTCTTAATAATTCTAGATGGATTAGGTTTGTTGAGGACCATCATTGACGTGACACCAACGTTTTTGTCTTGTTTCTCTAGATCATCAACACGTTGTTGAAGATGTTTTACATAATCAATTGCTGCTTGAAGTACGGAAGCTTTGTCTGTCTATAAAAAGAAATATTTAAATATTATATTATTATTATTATCAAAACCATGTACTATATCAATAAAGTGAGGTGTATTAAGCAATTTACTTACCTTGCTCAATCCGGGAATGGTTGCTGAAAGTGCGATGAATCTCTCAGTCAATTCTTGTCTCCGTTTTCTCTCTGCCATTATGTGATCATTGCACTGAGAACTGCTTCTACTTCTCTTGACTACTTTTTCTTCGTTCCTTTTCATCATTTCACTCTTTTCACTACTTTCACGGTTCCGTTTCTTCTTAGAACCATGTTTAGCATCCAAATTGACACATGCTGGTTGAGGTGTAGCAGGTATTATAGTTGAGTTATCAAAAGACAAAATGAATGTCTTTGGTACACTACTTCGACCACCGACATTTTTAGATTGTTCTTGTTGGTGTTGTTGTTCAGACACTACTGAATCTGAACTCATACTTTTTACCATGTTATTAACAACGTCAACACCGCCGTTAATGTCAATGGTAACTGAATCATTTTCACTTTCAGAATAGTTTAAACTTTGTGGTGTTTCTAACAGAACCTCTCTAAGAAAGTCATCACTGTCAATGTTAATGGTGTCCAAGTCCAAGTTGTCTATGAAGTAATCATCACCGCAATCCAATTCCTACAAGAATTAAATTATATTTCATAATAAAAGCGTGACAAATAAATGAAATTATTATTATGTCTATGATATAAATAATAAATTTACCATGTTAAGAAGAAATTTTCCCCATGTGTCTTCCATTGGAAAGTAGAAACTGATATAGCTCTTGAGGATAGTTTTGTGTTTGTGTTGTGATGTTTTGATTTCCACAAGAGGAAAGTCTTATATAATGATAACATATATAATAATAAAATAATGATTTGTCGGGGAATAAGTAGGAATTGACGGATAGTGTAGAACTAAATATTTTTGTGAGAAATATATAATTAGTTCATCTAAAATTTTAAGGCGATATATTAGTGAATTCTCTTATTTATAAGTTATCATATTTTTATTTAATATGAAATTATTTTTTCACTTACTCACACTTATATTATTATTCTAACGATTAAAAAATATTATAAGTAATCTAGGGACAAATAAAATGTTAATCGTTTTTCACGTTATTCTTATTTCAGCAGTTGAATCATTGATTTTGATACGAAACAAAGTTGTATGGGACCATCCATGTGTGTGTGAAATGAGAGGCATTTACGAGGATGTCTATATGAGCTCCACGAAGGAGTAAAGGCTGAACTAACTAGCTGTATTCGCATTAAATTATTATATCACTTTGTTAACTTCCGGATTCTGATAATCAATTTTTATAGATCAAGTAAACACATTCATGACTGTGCTATATGAAACGTAGACTGAACTATTTATGTTCAGCATGAGATTTTGGACCAATAGTTTCCAACATTGTTTTAAGTAAAGGATAACGATGACAATTTCCAATGATAAATAATCAGATTCCATCTACTAATATAATATTTTATATATTTTTTAAATATGCATGATGTTACTTTTAAGATAAGTCAAAGATATTTTAACTAAATTAAGTAGAAAAATATTTGTGTTGTAAATGATTTATTTCATTTCCTTAATAGAAGAGGAATTATAAGGACTCTTTTATGTATATATAGTACCTTGATCAATGAATAAAATTATCAGAATTATTACTTTGAAATGTTCTATATGGTATCTAGAGCCAACATCGTCTCTCTTTCAATATAGGAACGTTGGTTTTTTTATTTCTTAGTAATTTCTGATGGCTTCTGATAAAAAAAAATCGGAGAATTCTGGAACTTTCGCTGCTGTCCAATTCAACGATGCACTCACCCCAGAACGGCTTGACAGCACTAACTACGTCGAATGGTCGTTGAATGCACAGAACAAAATCAGAGACAGAAAACGATGGGGTTACGTTACCGGAACAAAGACTGCACCAGCAAAAGATAAACCCGGTGAATATGAAGCATGGGAAGATGAAAATTGTTTGGTCAAGTCTTGGCTTCTTGACTCCATGACCAAAAAAATCAGATCTCTTTTCATTCGCTTAGCTACGGCGAAGGAAATTTGGGAAATGCGAAACAAACGTACTCCGTCGACCAAGATGCATCAAGAGCTTATCAATTGCATCGTGAGGTAATCTCTACTCAACAAAATGGTGGATCTGTTATTACATACTTTGGAAAATTGCAGAGGCTATGGCAAGAGTACGATAATATTAATAATTGTACCATGGAATGCACTAAAGATGTTGAGAAATACAATAAGATGGTTAATTCTCAACGAGTTTATGTTTTATTGGCTGGTTTGGATTCACATTTGGATGGAGTTCGTGGTCGTGTTCTGGCTACCACTCCGCTTCCTAATGTTCAATCAGTCTATGCAATTGTATGTGCAGAGGCGAATCGCCAAGAAGCTATGCTAAGCGGTGAGTCTTTGAATGGTTCCGCCTTAGCTGTCAAGAAGTATCCCAAGAAAGAAATCCGCAAGTGTAATCACTGTAATGGAGATAATCATGACATGGAGACATGTTTTAAGCTCCATGGCTACCCAGAGTGGCATCCAAAGGGAAAAACTACTTCGAATAATAAGACAGAAAACAGCAAGGCTCATCTTTCTACTACTGCCGGCTTCGTAACCAAGTCAGGTATGTCTAACTCTGCTCGTAATCCTTATGTTATTATTAGAACTAGCGATTAGATAATCGATACATGTGCTACTGATCATATGACTTTCACTACGCCAAATAAGCTATTTAATAGCGCTTTTTTTTGTTTTTGATAGCGCTTAAAAGTGCTATTAACCGCGCCACTATTGTAAATATTTCTTATTTAATAGCACTTTAAAAGCGCTATTAAAGTACCAATTTATAATAGCGTTTTAATTAAAGTGCTATCAAAGTCAGTATTTTGCATGTTTTTTGTTTGTTTTTTTATAGCACTCTAAACAAAAAGCGCTAATATATAACATATGTTTGATAGCGCTTTCAAATAAAGTGCTAATAAATGGTACATATTTGGTACAATATTTTTAATAAGTACAGTACAATATTTTTTCTTACACAATCATTTTTTTTGGTGTAAATATAAAATAACTATATTCAATTCAACACAAATAACGCTTTAAGTTACTCATTGCATATATATTATGATCCATCAAATACCAAATAACATTTTAAATTACCAAATCCTATTGTTTCCAAATATCATAACATATAGAATATTAAGAGGGCATTTGCATAGCCAAATTTGTAGATGCCCATCTATGAGTACTTCAATCCAAATCCAAAAACATACAATCAAATTCTCTAAACAAAACACCAAAAAAATAAGAAAAGAAGCATTCCATAGCTGTAAACATCTGCTTTTACGGTTATCGGTCGATTACTAACCCATTCTGGTGCCAAATAGCCTCTAGTGCCTCTTACCATTGTTACCACATGAGAATGTTCCCTTGCCATCAATTTAGCAAGTCCAAAATCAGATACCTTGGGACAAAAGTTTTCATCTAACAATATATTTTCTGGCTTGATGTCACAATGTATTATCTTGTTTCTACACTGCTCATGAAAGTATGCAATCCCTTGTGCAGTATTTTTGGCTATATCAAAACGAGTTTGCCAATCGAGCAATCTATCTGGTCCTCGAATCGAAGGGAAGATCCACTGATCCAATGAACCATTCTTCATGAACTCATAAACTAAAAGCCTGCAAAACAAACATTACTTAAGCCAACTAAAGCGATGAAATTTGAATTCTTACGATGAAATTGTAAATAAAATAGTACACACCTCTGAGGTCCCTCAGAACAAAAACCACATAAACGAACCAAATTCATATGATGCATTGAGCCAATCGTGTTTACTTCGGTGATAAATTCTTTCTCTCCATGAGGCAAAATCTTATCAAGTTTCTTCACCGCGACTAAGGTACCATCTCCTAAGCTTCCTTTATACACACTTCCAAATCCAACTACAAAATATAAACAGTTAGCAACAAATTATATTAAAATCAAAGCGCGGTAAGATTCAATTCATTATAGGACACACATACCTGTTCCTAGAAGCTGCGAAAAGTTACTTGTCCTGATCTGCAAAGCGCGGTAAGTAAAATTCACTGGAGCACCTGATAAGACCAATGAACATTCCATCTCTCTTTTCAAAGTTCTTTTTCTATGAACACTGTAATACAGTAACATAGTGAGTAAAATAATGAGAACTATCATGCCTAGAACAATTGGAATAATCACAGCCTTTTCCTTAGCACTCCCCATTCCATCAGAAGAACTGTTATTAGACCTTCCCTCTTGTCCTTCTGGTGTCCATGAACTATTTGCTCGAACCTTCACAAACAAAGTAGAGCTCGTATCTTCAAAACCGCCGAAACTTAAACTCCTCAACACCCAACAAAAAGGTCTTTCTTCATTTAGTCCATAAACAGAAGCAACACAATCACAATCGGACAAACATGCATCGCCGCATTTTGATACAGAAGAAACATCACTCTCACTATAATTAGCTATTATTGAAGATTCAGAAAAATAATAATTAGTTTGTTGCACTGTCGAAATTCTAAAACTCGATGTCTTGTTTTCGTTTTTTCCATTAGTACATTTTCCAACCAGAGATGAATTCTCATAACATTGTCCATCTCTTCCTAGTTTAGAAGTTCCTGGTAAACAAGTGCAAGAAGCATTAGTCTTAGTTTTATCCAATTTACATACTCCATTACCACAAATTCCACCAATATCACATGGATTTGAAACTGCAGCCCACTGTGACACCCATTGTTTCGATCCATTTACGTCTTCCCATCGGTATAACCTCAGATTTCCATTCTCTTCGAGTGTCAGTCTCCTAAGAACGGTTAACGGTGTAGATTGATGAATTGCAGAAGCTAAACCTGCATCATCATTATCATTCTTATAAACATAAACTGCACCATCAGATGAATTTCCATATACAATTCCAAAGCTTCCGGCTTGATCTAAAACCGCGATAACTTCTCCGGTTACATTGGAAATATCAGGACCTTGCCAATAAGAATAGTTTGCATATGATTCATTTTCATCAAAATTTTGGTAACTTTCTGGAAGATTGTAAGTTAGTGCAAGACTTAAAGAAGTTGGTTGCTGAAGCATTTTGAGAGCATAGTAGCCACCATGAGATGAGGATTTTGATGATGTTAATTATGAAGAAACTGTTAGAGGCTGGTTTGGGAGAAGTGTGTTTGAAGGTTGAGAAAAACTCTGCCATATAGGGTGGTTGTTTGTGCTGTGAAGGATGAAGTTACCAGATTCTGACATGGTTGCTGATTCTACATTAGCATTTGATGTGTTTGAGGCCCATATGGTGACTTTTTTGTCGACGAGGACGAGGTTTCCTGTTGTGTCAAGCTCCAAAATTGCTTCTTGAGATGTAGGTGAGTTTCTGTTTGGATTGAAAAAGAAAATTAATCAGTTCATTGAGAGAGTATGATAGTGCAACAACGAAACATGGACACGATACAGGTATCAGATACGTCAGTTATTGAAAAATCTAGGATAAGATACGAAAGTAGTGATATTAGTTAATAGCAGATGTACCTATTGGGTGACCAAACGAAAGTTCGATCTCCTGGAAGGCTAGCAAACCAAATTCCTAACGTGAATAATCGATTATCAGTGTCTGATGGAGTGAAGCCGATAGTGAATGTTCCGTTATCAGGTAGTCCCGAAAAACGATCGAAGTTCATAATCATACTAACAGAGCAAATTGGAAAAAAAGTTGAAAACTAACTTGTCTCAGAATAATCACCGGCAGCCACCGTGATCGAACACCGACAATAAATCCATCACCAACGACTCTAACTATTTGTAATTTCTTCATTACATTGACTCTAACTGTGGATGACTGAAAGCAGATTGAAACTCTTGCACTATTTAGATACAAAACCATTCAAATATTGAATCACATGCAGACTACTTCTCCAAAATCCTTTATTGTGAGCATGCTTTGGTTCAAAATTGGGTGCAGAAGTCAAGTAGTTTATGATAATTAGCCATACATATAAGATGTAACTTTTTTTCCTATGATAAATATACTTATATGCAGTCTATCAATATAAGTAATGCACGTACATCAGAATTGGAAACAGTATATGTTAACTCGTCATACTTCCTCTAAATCCTGTAAGATACCCTTTATCAGAATTGATGAGGCGAGTTTGAAATTCTGCCCACTCACTCTTGCATCTCATTATGACCCCGTTTACATGATGAAAACCACAAACTCCTTGTTACTATATCGCACAAATTTCACATACAGTACATCAGAGAATTGTGACAGTAATATCGTTTTCGTGTCAAATAAACATACCGCATCATATTTGTCTTTTCCATGATCATATTCTCCCTGAAATTTGTAAATATAGATCTAAGAATTACTTTTAATAAAAAATTTGCAGGTTGAAAGCACAATCAGTTTAGTTTATTATATCAGAAAATGTGTAGCAGTAAATATCTATGTAAGTTAGTGATAATGACTAACTCGTTCACCAAGAGTAGGAATTGTTTGATGAACAATCCATTGTTCATCAACCACACCAATTTTTTCATGTGCTGGCTGCCAAAAAAATAAACAAAAAGTAAGGCATTGAAGGGACCAGAAACATATGAAATAGAACCATGAATTATGAAACGATGTTAAATCAATAACACTTAAATAACACCGACATAGAAAAATCGAAAAACATGCTTGCTATATGTTTAATAGTTACTGTTATTGATGTTCCACATCCTTCAATAAGTTTGTTAAGAGAACCCAAAGCTGCAAAAATTTTGCTCAGTTTAGAATATATTATGAATAAATCAAATCTTAGAAGCATAAACAAAGCTGCAACCTCATTGTAGCATTGTAAATCCATGAAATCTGAGGAACCACTAAGCTGCAAACCAGTAAATTTGCAATTTCATCAGTATAATTACAAATTTAACAGCCTTGGATATATTATATTTAGAACATTTAGACAAAAGCATGTAAAAGCATGTTGCATGTGCAGAGGCGAATCGCCAAGAAGCTATGCTAAGCGGTGAGTCTTTGAATGGTTTCGCCTTAGCTGTCAAGAAGTATCCCAAGAAAGAAATCCGCAAGTGTAATCACTGTAATGGAGATAATCATGACATGGAGACATGTTTTAAGCTCCATGGCTACCCAGAGTGGCATCCAAAGGGAAAAACTACTTCGAATAATAAGACAGAAAACAGCAAGGCTCATCTTTCTACTACTGCCGGCTTCGTAACCAAGTCAGGTATGTCTAACTCTGCTCGTAATCCTTATGTTATTATTAGAACTAGCGATTAGATAATCGATACATGTGCTACTGATCATATGTTGTGATCAACACATGTTTACTAATTTCTCTCCTAATTGTCATAAAACTATTATTATTACTGCCAATGGAGTGGAATCTCCCATTGAAGGTGTTGGTACAGTGACTCTATCACCCTACCTATCAATACCTAATGTCTTATTTGTTCCTACCTTGAATTGTAATCTTATCTCTGTCAGTAAATTAACAAAATTGCATTCATGTGTCGCTGTGTTTTATCCAACCCACTGTGTTTTTCAGGATATACATACCTGTGATACGGTGGGAAGAACTGACGATTTTTGGAATACTGGTTTGCGTTTTGCATTTGTTTTCGCAAAATGTCGCGGTAAGCAAGAGTCGCCACCGACTTTTATTTTATCCAACAAGGAAAGGAAAAAAGCAAGAGATATTTCTGAGTACGGGGGGTAGATTATAGAAAGGGAAGGTATTATCACCCTTTCTATCCGTGGTTATCCACGGGCTCTTAGGTACTTGCTCAATTGTTTTCAAAATTGCTTTCTTTGTGCTTGTGGGTTTGGAAAAGTTTTTGTTTGAAAACTTCGCTTTAACTCTTGCTTCTGTTCTCAAGAGCGTATGAAGTGTTTTTGAAAACTTTGTTTGAAAAGGAGTGTAAGTGTGAAAAAGATTTTGTTTTTTGAAAGAGCAAGTATCTAAGAATCATTTACCTACTCGAAAAAGGAATCGTTTTATGCTAATTTCCTTTAGACAATGTTATCCTACTATTGATGAGTAGGTAGCACCGTCGTTGGAGTTTGAAGGTCAATTCGAATGAGGGACTTACGGTCACCAAAGCAATGTTAGGACGCCTTAGCGGTAACCCTGATATCTTAGATCATTTGTTTGAGGCAACAATATTCGAGGCAACCGTTTCGAGGCGACTATGATCTTTTAGACAAGAGGGCGACCTCTAAAGTGACCTATACTCAATGACCGTGTACGAAGGCAACCAAGTGGGGTGTACCCTAAGAGTGCGCATGTGCGAGTGTGTCCTTTTCAGTTATTTTTATCTTTGTACATGTTAAAGGTGATCTAACTTGATTTTAAGATTTAACATTCAGTCTTGTCATGTAAACCCTATTATCAAACATTTAGCAGTTATAATTTGTGGAAATAAAATGCGGAATTTAAATTACAAGGCGTCGGGTATTTACATCGCCAAAGACAAACCCTTTTGAAAAATAAAATAAAGCAATAAAAATAATTAAAAGTCCTATTAACTATTACAATCCGGAAGCAGGTACATTATTGGATAAAAGAAAGTAAATCGCGTGCGAGAAATTAAATCGAGCGCAAATTTTAGCGTTTTGACCCTTTTGATTAAAGAAATCTTTTTGTTGTTTTTAATTTTAAGAAAGAAATTAAACCTAAATTAATTATTAAATTAAATAAAATAAATTAATTAATAAAAATAAATTATTTTTGGAGTTTTGATTATTTAAAGAAAGAAAATAAAATTAATTGAATTAGTAATTAAACCTAGCTAAATCTAATTAATTTTAATTATTTGCAAAAATAGGTTAAAATTATTCTAGAATTAAAACCTAAATTAATTGATTAGTATTTATTAAGAAAAAGTTTAAAGTTTTATTAAATATAAAAAATATTTTTGTGATTTTTATTTGCTAAGAAAAATAATTTTGATTGGTTAAAAATTAAATAAAAATAATAAAAACAATTAATAAATAAAATAAATAACTAGAAGAGAGGAGGGGATTGGGCCTGAATTGGGAGTGTAAGAAGCAAATATGAAGCCCAACATTGCTGGCCTTCTTTGACTTTTTGGGATCCAATGTGCACGCTTGGACTTGGACTATGGTGGACATCAACTCCTGGATCACCAGATCTGGCCTTTGGCCATCTGGCTATTGCATGGATGATGGCACACGGTAGGCTGCAGGTTCATGCGCGCATAGGAATACCTGAAGAGGAAAAACATTGAGAAAGTGGGGGACCTGGGATTCGAACCCAGGTCCTGAAGGATAATGCACGTGTACGCTTGCCACTACGCTGTGATAGTTTGTTTGTTAGTATAATGCAAAGTGTTCATAATATAATAAAACAAGTCAATGGCCAGAAAATTAAAAAGAACATGCACAGTATTTGAAAGGGACAATGGATGGGGGACACATCGTCGTCCCTGTCCTGAAACATGTAAAAGATTACCTGCAGATTTGAATCTGCAGCTAAAAACGCAGGCTTTTCCTAAAATCTTCTCTAGGCCATATAAATCCATTCCAAGAACATGGTTGGGTTCGATATGGCCTCCTGATCAAAGCTATGCCCTTCTTGTGGATCAATTATTCTTGAAATAGAAAACCCCAAAAACACTTCCAAGAACCCTAGCTATGGCGTTTTTGATTACAGGTTAGATAAACGAAATTAAATGATGCAGATAGCTAGGAAATGTTGTGAGGATTACAAATATGCAATTAACTTTCATTATAGATGCAAGAATGGAGAGTTTCGATTTCAAGAACAGAGTTGGGTTTCGTGACACTTACAGCGCGTTTGGACGTCTGAAAAAGCTTGCTTTGGATTGGTTTAGCTTGAGCGAATTCCTAGGAAGCGATTGGGACAGGTCTTGGCCTCTGAAAATGCCTCCAGCTATGATTTCAATCTCAAGCTTTTTGGTGAAATTTTCAAATCTTGTTCTTCCTCTCTCTGCACTTTACAACCCTGATCTCGTTTCCTTTGGCTTGCTTATGTATTGTGTGGTGTATTAGGGTAGAAATTATGGACTGAATCCCTTCATATCAATGCAAATGAATT